TAGAACCATCCTGAAAACTAGGCTTAGTATTGCTCTTCATCTTGCTCTGTATACCTGTTGTGAAGTTCTGTACCCATTGCCTGTCTAACCTCTAAAAATGACATGCCTGATAAGGTGATGTTATCTCAGCCCTTTGAGATGAACTCCAATGCCTGTGACCTTGGAGAAATACAGACTTTAGATGAGAAATGCCTCAGAGTTCCCCCTCCTGACCTTCCTTGTTACTCAAATGTGGCCTAGTTTCCAATAACTATGCACTTTACCTCCAACATGGGACATGACAACCAGGAAAGGTTCTTCCTAGCACAGAGGGACAAAACCACTGCATGCAGAGAATGCAACTGTTGATGAGTGATGCTTTTGGAGAAAGATCTTGATCAAAACGGGAAATGCGGGAATTAATAAAGGAAACCTTAACTAAACTGGAGTCAGGAAGGCCTGAAGAGGGAGCTCTCATACATCTTCAACTGCTCCAAACAGGAAGAGACAGATGCCTGCATCTCTGACAGGAAGTAAAACTACTCTACTACTAAGGAAGACTCTGTCCCCACCCAGCAACAGCCCAACCAATGAGAAATGTCACAGTCCAGCCAATGAGAAGCTGGTGCTGCCCTGAACTGTTACTTTCCCCCAATGGACTTCTGTTCAGAAACCCCACTCCCACCCCCTTTTTCTCTATAAAAGCAAATTCCCTTCCTTTGTTTTCCGGATTTGCCTATGGTTTGCCAAAGCATGCACATCCCAAATTGCAATTCTTTTCGCTATTATTGAGTAAATTGATTTTGAGGGTAAAATAACAAGTGAATTTGCTTTTTAAGTTGACAGATAATAAGAGAAATGGAAAAATCATTGTAGACCTGGAAATGACATGTTTCTGATTAAAAAGGAAATTCACATGTAAATGGTAAATTATCTAGAACTGAGAGCACACCATATGAACACATTTACAATACAAGAGAAGGTGATATGAGAGGAAAATTTATAGTTTCAGATGCTTTTTTGAGAATAATAAGAAATTTGAAATTTTAATAAACTAATTTCAACTCTAGAAACTGGGTAAACAAAAATGGGAACAAAAACAAAAGGTAGGATGAATTATTTAAAAAAATTTTAAACTATAAAATAGCTTAAATAAATAAAATAGTTTTAAAAACTTTTAAAAGGTAGAATAACTTTACAATGATAAAAACAGAAGTTGATTAAAATAGAAAACAAAAATTCAATCAATGAAAAGGAATCTGGTTAGCTGTAATGAAATACTTAATTAACAACAGTTGGGAAATTATAAACAACAAAAAGGAGAAAATAACAGAACTCCACCAAGCAATTTCACTTATAAACACATCCACATGATCTAAAACGTCAATAAACTGAATTGATAATTCCATGAAGTAGATGTTATTCCACAAGGTGTCAGCATTAATAAATCTGTCAACATAAAGTCACATGAATAGATTAATGAAAAAGTTCATATCAATTACTTATACAAAAGAAAAAGTTAGCAAACTGGTAGTAAGAGGAAATTTCTAGAAATTGATAGAAGATATCTTACCAGATTTCGAGAAGACATATCATCCTTTATAGTAAAATATTATAATTCTCTTTCCCTGACATTAGACTTTCCCTTCTCAAGAATGTCACCCTTTCCCCGCTTCACTCTAGCTCACTTGTCTCTTTCTCTGTGTCAAGGACAACCTCAACCCTAGCTGTCGTATGCCTCTGTTTCTCTCTCTATCCCCCCTTGGTGATTTCATCCAGGCCAAAGGCTTTCTGTATCACCTATTCTCTATGTCTAGTCCTCTGGTCCACTCTAAATGCCAGGCCCTGAAATCTTTCTGTCTGTTGGCTTCTGCCACCTCCGCACGGATGTGCATCAGGTGACTCCAACTTCACACGCCCCAAAGTGAATACCTGCTAATGCCCCGAACTGTTAGCACTCAATGTTCCCGCTACATATGCATGTCTAGTCGTGCTGTTATACAGTCAAAAACTAGGAATCATCATTGATTCCTCATCCGACATCTGATTACCAGCAAACCCCATCAGCTTTTCATTTGAAATGTATCACGAAGTGTACCACTTCCCACCACCTCCACTGCTACCCTCCCAGGCCAAACCTCCATAACATCTCATCTAGACCATGCAGCAGCTGGTTAATTAGCACCCCAGCTATCATTCTTCCTTTACAGTAGTCATAGGGACTTTTATAAAATGCTAATTGTACATGAAACTCCTTGTCAAAACCATCCAATATTTTCCACATTCTTGTAGAATAAATCCAGTAAGGGGGCCTCCACAGCCCTCTGGCTCTAGCTCCTGTATGTTTCTAAGGCTTCCTCTCCACCCTTTTCTCACTTGAATATTCCTCATATTTCAAACTCCCAGAACATTATCAGGCACATTGTAGGTGCTCAATACATATTTCTTTTTTCTTAAAGATTGGTACCTGAGCTAACATCTGTTGCCAATCTTCTTTTTTTTGTTTGTTTCTTCTTCTCCCCAAAGTCCCCCAGTACATAGTTGTATATTCCAGTTGTAACACACTGCCTCAGCATGGCTTGATGAGTGGTGCTAAGTCCATGCCTAGGATCCAAACCAGTGAAACCCTGGGCCACCAAAGTGGAGCATGCAAACTTAACCACTCAGTGACCGGGCCATCGCCCACATGTTTTTTTGAATGATGTAATGTATGAGCTTTACATCCAGAAATGTGAAGAATAAAAAATGGCACCATTTTTATTCAATATAGTCCCAAAATAAATAGCCAGGGCAATAAATTAGAAAAATAAATGAGGCATAATTATTGTAAAGAGACAATGCTGCCTTTTTAAAGGTAATTTGATTATCTACATAAAAATCTGAGAAAATTCACTTGACAAAGTATTGTTACTAATAAGCATGTTAAAAGTGAGGCCTAATATAACATGATATGTAAGTCAATAGCTTTCCTCTGTACTAGTAGTGATTGCTTAGATAACAAACATGAAAAGGGGACTTATGTCCAAAATATACAAAGAACTCTTAAAACTCAACAAGAAAACAAACAACCTGATTAAAAAATAGCCCCCAAATCTGAACATGCATTTCACCAAAGAAGATATACAGATGGCAGATAAGCATATGAACAGATGGCTCAACATCATACACCAATAGGGAATTGAAAAGTCTAACAATGAGATACTGGTATACATCTATTAGAATAGCAAAAATCCAAAACAGTGACAACACCAAATGCTGGTGAGGATGTGGAACAACAGGAACTCTCACTCACTGCTGGTGTGAATGCAGAATGGTACAGCCACTTTACAAGACAGGTCACAGTTCTTATAAAACTCAACATACTCTTATCATATGATCCAGCAATCGTGCTCCTTGGTATTTACCCAAAGGAGTTGAAGACTTTTGTCCACACAAAAACCTGCTCATCGGTGTTTAAAGCAGCTTTATTCATAATCACCAAAACTTAGGGAAAAACCAAGATGTCTTTCAGTACATAAATGGATAAACAAATTGTGGTATAGCCATACCACATAATGGAGTATTATTCAGTGCTAAAATGAAGTGAACTATCAAACCACAAAAAGACATGGATGAACCTTAAATGCATGTTGCTAAGTGAAAGAAGCCAATCTGAGAAAGCTACATACCGTAGGATTCCAACTACGACATTCTGGCAAAGGCAAAACTATGGAGACAATAAAAAGATCAGTTAGGTTCTCATGGAGAGAGGGGTGAAAAGGTGGAGAGCAGGGGATCTTTAGGGCAGTGAAACTATTCTGTATGATACTGTAATGGAGGGCACATGTCATTATATATTTGTTCAAACCCATGGAATGTACAACACAAAGAGTGAACCCTAACGTATATTATGGACTTTAGTTACAAATAATGTGTCATTACTGGCTTATCAACTGTGACAAATGTACCACAATAATGCAAGACATTAATAACAAGGGAAATGGGAGGAGGACAATGGGATATGTTGAAACTCTTTGTGTTTTCTGCTCAATTTTTCTTTATACCTAAACCTGCTCCCAAAAAATTCTATTTTTTTTTTAAAAAGCTATCATCTGAGGCCGGCCCCATGGCCGAGATGTTAAGTTTGCACGCTCCACTTCTTTTTTTTTTTTTTTTTGCTTTTTCTCCCCAAATCCCCCCAATACATAGTTGTATATCTTAGTTGCAGGTCCTTCTAGTTGTGGCATGTGGGATGCCACCTCAACGTGGCCTGATGAGCGATGCCATGTCCGCGCCCAGGATCCAAACCAGCAAAACCCTGGGCCGCCGAAGTGGAGTACGCAAACTTAACCACTCAGCCACAGGGCCAGCCCCTTACCTCCCTTTTAAACTCATGCAAAGGGACTTTTGTTTCTGGCAGTAAGAGGGACTAGATTTCCTCTGATATCCTTCCAATAAAGATTATCCTAAATGATGGATACAGAAAAAAATTAAATCTACTGCTCTGATGGGACAAGCAAAGAAAATCCCAGAGAAGCCATAAATGATGAGAACGTGTGAATCCAGAAATATATTTGAGAATTGGCTCTGGGTCTTGGGAGCAATTCTGGTCTACGGAAGCTAAGAGACAGGTATTTTGTGTGTGTGGTAAATACACATAACATAAAATTTACCGTTTTAAAGTAAAGTACAGTTAAGTGGCATTAAATACATTTACCTTGTTGTGCAACCATCACCACCATCCATCTCCAGAACTTTCATCATTCAAACTGAAATTCTGTATCAATTAAACACTAACTCCCCATTCCCTCCTTTCCCCAGCCTCTGGTAACCACTGTTCCACTCTCTGTCTCTATGAATTTGACTATTCTAAGTAACTCATATTAGTGGAGTATTTGTCCTTTTGTGTTTGCCTTCTTTCACTTAATATAATGTCTTCAAGGTTCATCCATGTTTTAACACATATCAGAATTTTCTTTTTTTAAGACGGGATAACATTCCATTTTATGTAACTGTTGACCTAGATAAATAAAACAGCCAGCTATTTTTACCAGCAAAAGGAGTTTATTCAAGAATAGCAGAGGAATCACAATTCAGGACAAGCAAACTCTAGCAAAAGCCATAGGCAAGTCCAGCACACAAAAGGAGAGGAATGTTATTTTACAGAGAAAAAGAAGTTAGGAGGGGTTGTTTTGAACAAAAGTCCATTGGAAGAAAGTGAGAGTTCAGGGTGGTGATGATTTCTCATTGGCTGAGTTGCTCGGCTAGTCAATTTCTTGTTGGGAATGTAATGGGCAATTTTTCTGTTGGGGTCTGTAATTGACGATTCTGTAATTGATATCAAGTTATAGTGCCTGAAGGCTCCCCCTTCTTGCCTCCCAATCTCATTTAAAATGAGGTTTCCTTTATTCTGTTTCACTGTGTAAGGAAGTGCACTATGCCAAAAACCCCTGGCTTCCAGCTGTTTCAGATCATCTAGGTAAGGGCCTCACACATTGCAGTTCACGGCCTACACTCAGGCTCTGCCTCCCTTGTCAGGAAAGACTGTCCCTGCTGAACTCAGATGCCCGTAGTTGTGAAGAGATTTCTTCCAAGGAGAGATTGAAAACATTTCTCTCTGGGACACATTAGCTGTTACTTTTGGACAGTGTGGGTACACGGTTTAGAACTGCTTGTGCCTCTTTAATATAGTTTTTAAGTCACTTTTAATTTTTTTTTTTAAAGATTGGCACCTGGGCTAACAACTGTTGCCAATCTTCCTTTCTTTTTTAAGGATTGGCACCTCGGCTAACAACTGTTGCCAATCTTTTTTTTTTCTGCTTTATTTCCCAAACCCCACCCAGCCGTACATAGTTGTATATGTTGGTTGCAGGTCCTTCTAGCTGTGGGACGTGGGACGCTGCCTCAAAGTGGCCTGACGAGTGGTGCCATGTCCGCACCCAGGATCCGAATCCTGGGCCGCCGCAGCAGAGCATGCGAACTTAACCACTCGGCCACGGAGCCGGCCCCTCCCCTTTAATTCTATGCCAAGAACTCAAGACACTGGCTGTCAAGTGCACGTCATGAAGGAAAACTGCTGCTGACCTCACCATGCCAAGAGGTGAAATTGACTTTCTCCCAGGGGAGCTTTTAAACATTTCCTGGAGGCTGGGAGAGCATGTCTAGCTCACATGTTCAAGGGGAGGCGTTTTCACCCTGGTGCATGCCTTCCAGAGGTGGCAGCCCACAGCCTTCACTCAGGCGCTCCCACGTCATGAAGGCACGTTCCTGCTGAGCTCAGCTGTCTGTAGCTGTGAAGGGAGTTCTCCCAAGGAGAGATTTACAGATTTTCACTACACTTGTGACAGATTATCTGTAACATATATTCAATGAGGTTTCACAGTGGAGAAAACCTCCTGCTTTTACCTTTTTAGTATCTTCTTGATAAGTGACTTCTAATACACTGCAGTTCAGTCTACACAGAGGCTCTCATGCACATTTGATGAAGTAAAATTACAGGTGAGCACTGCTTGCCAGGAGGTGGAAGTGACATTTTCCTAACAGAGCTCTTCATCATTTCACTACAGCTGGGAGAGAATATCCATAGCATACATTCAAGGAATGTACACTGTGCAGAAAATAGCTGGCTGGTAGCTGTTTAGGATCCTCTTGCTAGGTGACATTTCACACATTACAGTTCACCAACTTCACTCAGGCTCTCTCAGCAGTGTCATGAAAGCACTTTCCTGCTGAACTCCACTCTCCATAGCTGTGAAGGTGCTTCTTCCAAGGAGATACTTAAAATATTTCACTATGACTAGGGCAGGTTATCTATAGCTTTTGTTCAATGAGGGCACAGGGTATAGAAAAACTCCTCCTCGTAGCTCTTTAGGACAGTCTTGTTTAATGACTTTTAATACAATGCACTTCATTCGACACACCAGCTCTCACTTGTGGGTGATGAAGGAAAACTATTGCTGAATTCAGCTTGCCAGGAGCTGGAAGTGACACTGTCCTGGGAGAAATTTTAATCTTTTCACTACAGCTGAGAGAATATCTAGACCATCCACTGTGCAGAGAAGCTTTGGTTTCTAGCACTTCAGGATCATCCTGGTAAGTGCTTTTGCACACATTGAGGTTCACTGCCTTCCCTCAAGCTCTCCCCCATGTCATGGAAGCATGTCCCTGCTGAACTCAGATGCCCACAGCTGTGAAGGGGCTACTTCAAAGGAGAGATTGAAAAGTTTTCACTTCTACTGGGCCAGATTATATGTAAGTATCGTTCAATGTGGTTACACTGTGTAGAAAATCTCCAACTTGTGGCTCTTCAGTAACATCTTCATAACTCACTTTTCATACATGCCCTTCAGGCTACGCAAAGTTTCTCACTCTCATGTGACGAAGGGAAACTCTTGCTGAGCTCACCCTGTCAGGAGCTGGACGTGACATTTTCCTAGGAGAGATTTTTAACATTTTATTACAGCTTGGGGAGAATATGTATAGCATCCATTGAAGGAAAGTCCACTGAGCAGAAAATCTCTGGCTTGTAGGTGGTTAGGATCGTCCTTCTAAGTGCCTTCTCACATATTGTACTTCTGAGCCTTCACTCAGATTCTCTCTTCCATTTCATGAAAGCATGTTCCTGCTGAACGCAGCTGCCTGTATCTGTGAAGGGGTTTCTTCCATGGAGAGACTTAAAAGTCTTCACAACAGTGAGGACAGATTATCTGTAACGTCATTCAAAAAGGGTATGCAATGTGGAAAAGGTCCTGCTTGTAGCTCTTTTGCATCGTCTTGATAAGTGACTTTTAGTACATCGCAATTCAGTCTACACAAAGGCTCTCTAGCCACATGTGGTGAAGGAAAATGATTCCTGAGGTTAGCTTGCCAAGAGCAGGGAGTGACATTTTGCTTGGAGAGCTTTAAACATTTCTACAGCTGGGAGTGAATTTCTATAACATCCATTCAAACAGATTACAGTGTTGGGAAAAATTCTTGCTTCTGCCCCTTAAGGATCACCTTGATAATTGCCCTTTCATGTTTTGAAATTCTGAGCTTTCACTCAGTCTCTCTCTCACATGTACTTAAGAATGATTCTCCTGACCTCTGCTTCCTGATAGGTGTTAAAGGTTTTGTTTCTGGAAGAGATTGAAAATTTTCCCTATAGCTGGCAGAGAATACCTATAACATCCATTCAGGGGATATTCACCATGAGAAAAACTCTTGCTTCCTGCTCTTGAGGGTCACCTTGATATTTGCCTTTTCAAACTTTGCAGTCCTCAGCATTCACTCAGGCTCTCTTCACATGTATTGTAAGAAGTTTCCTCCTGCACTCTGCTTCCTGGTAGGTGTTAAACTTTTTGTTTAAAAAAGAGATGCAAAACACTTCCCTCTAGCTGGGAGGTAATATCTACAACATTCACACAAGGAATATTCACTGTGGAGATCACTTTGCTTATAAATCTTGAGGATCACCTTGATAATTGCCTTCTCATTTTTGCAGATCTCGTCCTTCACTGAGACTCCCTCTTACACGTATTGGAAGAATGTTTCTCCTGAACTCTGTTTCCGAGTAGGTGTTAAAGGGTTTTTTCCTAGAAGAGTTTTAAGTCTTCTCATTCATCGTAGGACAGATAATCTTTAACATCATTCAGGGAGAGTACAGGGTTGAGAAAGTCTCCTGCTGGCAGCTCTTCAGGATCTTCATAAGTGACTTTTAATACGTTCACATTCAAGTTTACACACAGGCTCTCGCTCTGAAGTGATCAAGGAAGAATATTGCTGAACAGAGCGTGCCAGGAGCTGTAGACATCTTCCAGTGAGAGCTTTTAAACCTGTCACTACCGCTGGGATTGAGTATCTGTAAGACCCAATTAAGGAATATTCACTGTGGAGAAAAACTCTGGCTTCTAGCTCTTGAGGGTCTTCTTGATAACTGCCTTGTCAAACTTCACATTACTCAGCCTTCACTCTGGCTCTCTCTCACATGTATTGGAAGGATGCTTCTCCTGTTCTCCGCTTCTGGGTAGGTGTGGAAGGTTTTATTTCTAGAAGAGATGTAACACTTCTCACTCTAGCTGTGAGACAATATCTAGAACGTCCATTCAAGTAGAGTACACCAGTAGGAAAAACCTTTCCTTCTAGCTCTTAAGGATCATCTTGCTATTTGCCTTTCCAACCTTTGCGGTTCTTGGCCTTCACTCAGGCACTCTCTCACATTTATTGAAAGAGTGTTCCTGAGGAGAGTGGTGTCAAGATAGTGTTGTAAGCAGACTCTGAACTCACCTCCTCTCATGAGCACAGCAAAGTAATGACTATTTTTCAAAAAATTACCTCTGAGAGAGAACTAAAAACTGGGTAAAAGGAACTCTCACAGCATGAGACATTTCTGATTGAGGGAAAAGAGGGAGAAATTCCTGTCTGGAGAGAAAGAAGCCAATTTCATGAGCTGCAGAGCTTCACACTGGGTGGGAGCAGCCCTAAGGTGTGCAGCCTTCCCTGGAGGAGTGGGGGACCTGACTAGGGGAACATTCACACTACAGCATCCTTCAGACTCAATACAACTGAAATGAGTGTTATAACACTTGGGTTTGCTGGCTATTAACTACAACATGTAATACCCCAAAAAAAGCTATAGGACAGAAACAGAAAAAAAAGCCAGCTCTTAAAAGGCCCACACTCAAACTCACCTGTTTTGGAAAGCAATCTAAAATCACCATAAAGAAAGCTGGAAGGTCCTTTGGTGAAAGGACTCACCAGATAGGCTCTGGGTGCATCTTGGTGAGATGCAAGACTTCTCCAGGACTGAGACATTGGGAGAAACCATTATTTTGACCCAGTGCAGGCCGGCTGACATAGATGCTGACAGAAGGCATTGGAGTTCTTCCTCTGGCCTGTTAGCCCAGGGTCTGCCCTGCCCACTAGAATGTAAAATAACTCCAGCTCAGCCAGGGCAGTCAGCCCACCCAAGAGACTGGCCCCACCCAACAGCAAGCTCTTGGGCAACTTTTCAGCCTGCATAGACTGTGTGCCTGGATCCTCTGCATGTATTCAAGTGGGTCCACTGATGTTAGGTAGGGCATGCATGAGGAGTGGGTGGAGAGTGGGGGCCATTAGTGGAGTGTGTGTGGGGCTCTGAAGTGGGGCAAATGGGTCTGTTTCAAGGAGTCGGGAAGTGTCCCTGGGGCCAGGACTGTGGTGATGGTGGGTGCGGACCTGTGGGCTGTGGGGCTTATGAGTGGCAGAAGCCCTGTGCTTGTCAAGCAGCCACATAGGGGATTGGCACTTCCTTCCAAAGCCTGAAACAACTGTGTACTCCCACGCCTGGGACCAGACCCACTCAGCTGCAATCCTGAGGGAGCTGACAACAGCCTTGCAGGCCAGAGGCCTGCAGCAATTGTAAGCCCCTGAGCCTAGCAACCAGTCACACTGGGGACCTACCCACTTAACAGAAAAATTGCAACAGGAATGTGCTATTTCAACTTTTCAGCCAACTGTTCTGGGGCTCCCCAAACCCGATAAGCTGACTGAAGGGTCCATAGCAGCTTCATGCAGCAGAGCAGTACAACCAGCTGACCAGGTGCAAAGCTTAGGTTCCCTGGGCATCTGCAGCAAGAGGAACTCTGCCACAACAGAAAGACACATGTAGTTCACACAAGGGTGACTCTTGGAACATTTTGAACTGGTGAAGAGAGGGAAGCACATTGCTGGGTCTCCAAAGATGTCTCCTACATGAGGCCACCTCTACAAGATCAGGAGGTGTAGCTGACCCACCTAATACCTATATACAAGCACAGAGAAAGAGGCAAAATGAGGAGGCAGAGGAATATGTTCCACGCAAGAGTACAGGACAAAACCCCAGAAAAAGAACTAAATGAAACACAAAGAGACAATCTACCTGATAAAGAGTTTAAGCAAAAAGGTATAAGGATGCTCATTGATCTTGGGAGAAGAATGGATAAACACAGTGAGAATGTCAACAAAGAATTGGAAAATATAAAAAAGAGCCAATCAGAAATGAAGAGTACAATACTGAAAATGAAAAATTCACTAGAGGGACTCAACAGCAGAGTAGATGATACAGAAGAATGGATAAAAAAGCTGGATGAAAAACTAGAGGAAATCAGCCAAGTTAATCAGGTAAAAGAAAAAACAATTCTAAAGAATGACAGCAGTCTAAGGGAACTCTAGGACAACATCAAGCACACTAACATTTGTATTATATGTGTTCCAGAAGGAGAAGAGAGAGACAAAGGGGCAGAGAATCTATTCGAAGAAATAATAGTTGAAAACATTCCTAACCTAAGGAAAGAAACAGACATCCAAGTACAGGAATCACAGAGAGCACCAAACAAGATAAACCCAAAGAGACCCACACCAAGACATGTTACAATTAAAATGTCCAAAATTAAAGAGAAAGAAAGAATCCTAAAAGCTGCAAGAGAAAGGCAACAAGTGACATACAAAGGAAACCCCATAAAGCTGTCAGCTGACTTCTCAGCAGAAACCTTACAGGATAGAAGGGAGTGACATGACACATTTATTTAAAGTGCTGGAAGGAAAAAACCTACAGCCAAGAATACTCTACCCAGCAAGGTTATCATTCAGAATGTAAGGAGAGATAAAGTTTCCCAGACAAGCAATATTAAAGGAGTTTAACACCACGAAACCAGTTTTTCAAGAAATGCTAACAGACTTAAGTGGGAAAGAGAAGACCACCAATAGAAATTAGAAAATTATCAAAAAAAAAAAAAAAAAGAAAGAGATAATAAAAGCACTGGTAAAGGCAAAAATACAATAAAAGTAGCAGATCAACAACCTATGAATATAATATGAAGGTCAAAAGAAAAGAGTACTAAAATTCCCTGTTTCAGTGGTAGGAGGGTAATGGATACACACACACAAAATAAGATGTTATATATGACATCAAAAACATAAAATGTGGCGGGATCTCATCAAGATGGCAGCGTAAGCAGACTCTGAACACATCACCTCCCATGAACACAACCAGGTTACAACTATTTTTGGAAAAAATACCCTCGAGAGAAAACTGAAAACTGGATAAAAAGAACCTCCACAACAAGGGACAGTCCTAACTAAGGCGGAAGAGGCAGAAATTCCTGCTGCAGAGGAAAAAAGCAACCTGTGGGAGCAGCAGAGCTTCTCAGCTGGCCAGGTAGGAGCCACCCTAAGGTACGCAGCCTTCCCTGGAGGAGTAAGGTCTGGAGTAGGTGTCGATACTGCTATAAGCATCCTTCAGACGCAGCCCAACTGAGACAAGAGTCTTACTGTCTGGCTTTGCTGGCTATTAACTGCAGCGAGGATACCCCTAGAAAAGCTATCAGCCAAAACCCAAAAAGACCCAGGTCTTAAAGAGCCCATGCACAAACTCACTCATTGCAGCAACCTAAAATCACCAGAGAGAAGGCTGACAGCCGTTTGGTGAAACAAGACTCACCTGGTGGGCTCTGGGGACATCTTGGTGAAAGGAGGGACCTCTCTGGAGATGGAGACATTGGTGGGGGCCATTGTTCTGACCTGGTCCAGGTGTGCTGACACAGATCCAGGTGTGCACCATTGAGGTTTTTCCCTCAGCCTGTTAGCCCAGGGGCCTGCCACACCCACTAGCGGACAGATTTAATCCAGTTCAGCCAGGGCAGGGACCGGCCTCACCTAACAGCAAGCCCTCAGGCTACTTTTCAGCCTGCACTGACTGGGTGCCTTGATCCTCTACAGGCAGGTGAGTGTGTCTGCCTCTGCGGGGCAGGGCCTCTGTGAGGGCCAGGTAAACTGTGGGGGACATTGATGGAGAGGTTGGGGCCTCTGCAGTGGGGCATCGGGGTACACTCCAGGGGGCTGAGAAGTGTGCACGGACCAGGACTGTGTTGATGGTGTGTGTGGTCCTGTGAGGGGTGAGGCTTATTAGTGGCAGAAGACCTGTGCTTCACAAATAGCCATAAAAAGGACCAGCCCCACCTTCCAAAGCCTGAAACAGTTGAGTGTTCCAGTGCCTAGGGCCAGCCCCACTCAGCTGCACCCGAGAGAACTGACAACAGCCTTGTAGGGCTGAGGCCTATTGCAACTGTAAGCCCCTGAGCCTAGCAACCAGCTACACTGGGTAACACCCCAATTAAGAGGAAAACTGCACTAGGAGTGTGCTGATAGACTTAGTAGCCGGTGGTGCTGAGGCTCCCCAAACCAGATTTACAAACAGCTGGCCAGGGAAGGAAAGACTAGACTCCCTGGGTACCTGCAGTGGGAGAAACCCTGCCACAGCAGAAGGACACAAGCAGCCCACAAAGGGGTCACTCCTGGATAATTTGGACTGGTGACAAGAGGGAAGCACACTGCTGGGCATCATAAGGCAGCTCATACATAAGGCTACTTCTCCAAGATCAGGAGACATACCTGACTCACCTAATACATAGAAATAAGCACAGAGAAAGAGGCATAATGAGGAGACAAAGGAATACTTTCCAAGCAAGGGAACAGGACAAAACCCCAGAAAAAGGACTAAATGAAACAGAAATAAGCGACCTACTCAACAAAGAGTTCAAGAAAATATCATAAGGATGGTCAGAAATATTGGGAGAACACTGGATGAACACAGTGAGCACATCAGCAAAAAAGTGGAAGATACAACAAAGAACCCCTCAGAAATGAAGAATACAATACTGGAAATGAAAAATTCATTAGAGGGACTCAATAGCAGAGCAGAGGATGCAGAATAACAGATCAGCAAGCTAGACGAAAGACTACAGGAAATCACCCAAGCTGAACAGAAAAAAGAATTAGAGTGAGAACAGTCAAAGGGAACTCTGGGACAATATCAAGCATGCTAACATTCGGATTATAAGTGTCCCAGGAGGAGAAGAAAGACACAAAGGGGAAGAAAATTTATTTGAAGAAATAATAGATGAAAATTTTCCTAACCTAAGGAAGGAAACCGACATCCAAGTACAGGAAGAACAGAGAGCTCCAAACAAGTCAAGTCCAAAGAGGCCCACACCAATACATATTATAATTAAAATGTCCAAAATTAAAGATA